TTGCTTTTCGCACATTTGAAGAAGGCTCGTATAGAAGACTGTGGCTTTCATCTGACTTATTACACGGACAGACAGCACACAAAGTACCATGCGACACCCTGCACCTGTGGGTCTGCAGAGCTTGTAAACAAATCAGGAGGAAAAATGGCTCCTAATAACAGCCATTTTGATGTTTTACCCGAAGAAGAAGCACTATGTTTGTCTGCATGCAGCCGCCATTACAATAAATACCTGCAATGGCTACTTCAGTCATATACACATTCTACCCCTCTCTTTGGTCAGATGGTGGTAGGTGTGGTTGTTTATTTATAGTCTTTATTTAAGCATAAACAAACTTCAGCGGACATGTTCAGATATTAAATGTCATTTAAACATGGCAGATCTTAGTTAATAGTCCTGGCTGCACTTTCAACTCTACTGAAAGTACTATTCCATGAAGTCCCCTAAAAGCATTTATTCTGAAGTACTTATGTTATTTGTTTAATTGTTTTCAGAGAAGAAGAGGTGTGTGAATAAGGAAGCAATGAGTCAACCCATTTACTTGGAATGATCTTTCTTCTAAATATTTTTTAGTTCACAGTAGTTACTTGTTTTTGCATCTTTGTAAATGGAAGTGTAATTGGCAGAAGGTTATCTGACGTGCACCTAAAGACAGATTCATCCCATTTTTCTTGTGACAATAGACTGTATAAAAAAGTGGATTAAGGTAGTGTGACATCAGCTATAACGTTCAGCTCCAGTCAAATGAAGCTCACGAGGCTAGCAGTTATACGAGCAAATTTACAGCCGAGTTCTATATTAGGAAAAGGAATTCATTCATAGACAAAACAGCAAAATAAAAACACCTGGTAGAGTGGGTTAATACAAAGATTTTAAGATCAAGACCAGGCTCATAGCTGCAGTTGCAGAGAGAGGGGTGAAAATTTTTCAATGTAAAGATGTATGTAACTGGATGTATGTAACTGTAACTGGAAACAAGAGTCGATGGAGCCGGAAGTGCCCCAACACTCACTTCCCATGTGGTACACGACAGCTAGCGGGTTAGCTTTGTCCATTTATATATAGTGTGTCTATGGTTGAATAATCAAAAATCCTCAAAATGACGTTCATGGCAGGAAAATATTTTGTAAATGAAACCCAAATCAAGACACATCAATTTTTTTTCCTACACTGCAGCTCAGTGATTTTAGGCCGATAACTGAACTGGATGTCTTATTCATATAACGGTCCTGTTGGCAATGTAAATCTGTCTTATCTTATCCTCAATATTTTCTCAAATTTAAGATTCAGCAAGCGCTCTAATGCGCTCTTGGTAGATAGATTTAAAGACACTCCTACCACAAGGGGTCAGCAGAGGAAGATCTGCATTATCATAATCTTTAAGTCAAGGCTAAAATGTAGCCTGAATCTGACCTCTGTTTCCTGTTCTACACTTTCAAGCCTCAGTTTCCACTCCCAGGAGCCAGGACTGCTCCAGCGATTGATTACATCGAGATCCATGATTACAAGCAGTTCAAACATTTATTTAGCTACAAGCCAGCTTCGTATCCGCTGACCCCCGGCACTCCTCACTGAACTGAAAACCATTAATTATACACTTGGCTTATTTAGATTAGAAGGGGCTGAATGAGGCAAAGTACAATAATTATACAAAAAGGAAAAAAAAAACAACAACAACAACAACAAAACAGAAATCATACAGTTGATTTCAGAAATTATAGGGGTAATAATTAGAATGGGTATTTGCACTCATTGGTTGGTGCATTTGTAACTAAAGGTTGATTATATAGCTATACTGGTGAAAGGTTATTGATTTTTAAATATAGACTTTAATATTTTAAGTTTTTTTTTTTTTATGACAAAAAACAAAAACAAAAACAAAAAAAAGATAAAAAATAAATAAATAAAAAAAAAAAAAAATAAAATCCTTCCACCCCTATCTCCACACGATAATAATTGAAACTGAACACTTTAATTGAATAAATGCTAGATAGATGAGTTTAATGACACATTCCAGGCAAGAACATCTCCATGGAGACAAGCAGATGGTCAATTGCCTATCATAAAAGTTCCTAAGTGCACCATTACATTATTATTATTTTCGGGTCACCTGTAAACTACAAGATTATGACAGCGATTTCAAATAAAGGTATGGGGTTTAATAGCATACACACCATTAGTTTCCTTTGAAAACCTAACAACTTCCATCTAGAGCCTGAGCGCACGATGAAAGGCTCCACATGATGGATCCAAGGCTGCTTTTTGCCCGATGTGTGAGACAGGAGCTGCACAGACCCTGGACAAAATTGAGTTTTCTCACTGGGGCTTTGCTGTTTGAAGGAGGGCTATCAGGCCAGATTAGCTTTAGCTCACCGCTAATGGAACCCAGAGCATTTTCAAAAGCATCCTCCAACTCACTATTTTAGCTTGGGATCCTTGGATGCATTTTCAGGGCATCAGTGTTATATAACGTACACTTCATGGACTTTGAAGTTATATTTCAATTACCAAAATGTCAACGATTGTTTAAAAGAAATAAAATGACAAACTGGTACATTTTAAAGGCTAAATAAACTAATTTTTTTAAGGGTGCAATATGTAACTTTTCTAGTGGAATGTCTCCATGGAGATGCAATTGTTTTGTCAGGAATATCTCCTTAAAAGAAGCAGGTGACGCCACCAGTCCAAGCTACAGGTCAGATCTGTGAAACCCTGTATTTTTAGATGAATAAAACATCTGTGTATTGAATAAATGCAAGATAATGCCACACTGAACAATATCACCTTTCTGTGACAAGGAGATTGTGTATCCTCCTCCAGAAAAGTTACATAATGTACCTTTAATATTTCATTTTTGGCTGCTAAATATTTTTTGCATCCGTACCCACATATACGTGTTATGGAATGCAAACTCACATTACAATTAGTAACATGTCACATTATAATGAATAAATGGTCTAACTGGAACAAATCTTACAAACAAAACAAAACAAATATATGAATATTTAGTTTTTGGCAGTTTCATATTTTCAGGGCATAAATGATTCCTTATGTGTTGCAAAAGGTGAAGTCATATTTCTATTACTAAAATGTAATTATTTGCAAGAAATAAATGGAATAGCTGGTAGACATTTTAGAGGCAAAATAAACTAACGTATATATTCATATTTCATTTTGGGTTAAATAAAAAATTACAAATATTTTTAGACATCACACAGTATATTTTTTAGATTCACGTTCGGTATTTTTGTAGCGCATCCTTTTTATTCCCATGTTTTTTTAAATTGGGCTTATGTTTAATATGGCTGCAAGCAACAATAAAGCCTTGGTATTTGAATATAAATGAGTGTTTAGAAAGGCAAATATCTCACCAGGACACAGCGGGACACCTGGAAATCTCTAGAAAACTATAATCTTCTACGTGTGTGTATTTGAGTAGAACTGTGATTGTCATTTGCATCTGCTTGTGTTGTGTGTGTGTTGTTGGTGTGATTGCGTGTCATTTGCAGACGCACGGGGGAGGAGCCTGTTGTGCGAGCATGTCCGGGGGGCTTGTCTCCATGTGGGGGGCAAACACCTGACCTTTGGAGCTTTGATCACCCCGCAGTCTCCCAAGTGTCACAGGTGGGAGCAGGGGAGGTGAAGGCAGCTACTGAATACATGGCGCTCGTTTCATTTATTGTTATTTGTTTATTATTTCAATATTTTACCAGATAAGTCAATTGAGAACACCTTCTCATTTGCAGTGACGACCTGGCCAAGACGTCGTCATTATTGATAATTTGCAGTGACATCAAACTAAGGGTGTTCTACATGTATATGCATTGGCAGAATGCTCAACAGTTACCACGGAGACACAATGCACCGAGTAGCAAACAGAACCAAATACATTTTAAGATCACCTGAAAAACTCCAAATCCAAAGTGGATTTAAACAGCACATTTTCAGATTTTCAGGAGCCTCTGATCAATAAGAGTGGTCATATTCCTGTTTAGGAGTTTGATTTTCAACAAAATGTTAGAGTGACTGACGGAAAAACTGTTGCCTGATGCTATCTAACTTGCGACTGTAATTTTACGTGTGTAAGAGTTGTTTAACAGTACAAATCAGCTCACTTGTTGTAGTTCCAACCAAGTCAGCGCTTTCTGGTCAGACTATGTTAAAATTAAGTTAAGTCTAACTTCAGTAACAAAGCTTCTAACAGAGCAGTGCTTTTGGTTTAGCTTCTCACTCCCAGGGAATGTTGATGACATCAGCTGCAAAGTATCAATATATGACTTCTTACATTGGGATTACTATTAAGGCATTGTGAGTATGGGACCCTTTTATGACCCACTGTCCTCAAAACATGCATTAGTAACAGTAAAATTGGTTTTATTGACGATGCGACTCTGCTAATGTAATGTTTTCCATCTGAAATGCACTGACACAAAGACCTCATTTGGAACATCAATACTGAATGTCATATTTCTGACGTATGCTGTATACTATATTTAAATGTGAAAGTGTATTGATTCTATCCTTTTTACGTGAAATGTAATATACACTTTATGGCTTAAAGTTCATTCAGCTCACTGAATACTACTCCTGAACGAGAAGATTAACCAAATTTCATGTTTCTTTGTTTTTTTCTTCAGTGATGTTAAAGTTCCTATATTACACAAAATTTATTCTTGCAAGCTTTAAGCCATGTTAGAATGCTATTACCTCATCAAAAACATGCCTGTCTACATCTCCAAAGCTCAAAATGCTTGTTACACCTTGTGGATATACCTGCAACCTGGCCTTGTGGTGTTATCTGTCTATTAAAATAAATAAGAATGAATGAAATTCTATAGAATATTCACGTAAAGCAAGGCCATATACACAAAGACACAGGGTTATTTATAGTGCATCTTATAATTAAAAAGAATATCAGCCAGCCTACTCACAGATTCATTAAGTGAGTCATATTTTGTTATATTGTGTGTATTGTATTATTGCATGTATTTTTCCCATACCTCAGCCAGTGGCACAATGCCCTGTATGTCTACGTCGGTGATGTAGAGATGGGAGACTTTGTCCGCCTGCCTGGCTGTGGCGGGGGTGTCTGTGGGGTACTCCGTGTTCCAGTGCAGGGTCTGGGTGAATACCATGGTTATCACGTTATCCACTTCAAACTCCAGCTGCATCACTTCATACGATGGACTGTCCAACCTGTGAAGACGACATAACAGATCCATGTATTGATTCGATCTGGTGCATTTAAAATAGTGAGGCAGATCTATAGACACAATGTAATATCAATGCAAATGGTTTATTGATTTAAGGGACATGGTTACTACACATGTTTTTATGGGCCAGAATTCAGTGTGTGTGTTTGGGTGGATGTGGTTGGTCGGGAGGCTGTAAAACTACAAAAAGCATTTCATTTTGTCAGCGCTTTTATTTAAGTGGAAATTCAGTTTAGTTTTACAAAAAAAATGTTTTCTACTTTAGATTTTTAGTTAAGCAAAATATAATGTAACATGAAGTGGTGTCTGTAACTGTTTAAATGTTTAAGAATAAGAGTTATATGTTAATTTTGTTAAAGAAGACCTATTGTGCTTGTGCCTGTTTGTGCCCGTTATAATCTATGACACCTGCGAACAACTGCTATAATTTAGATATAATTTAGACATTTAAACATCGTAAACAAAACTAGTCCGCTGACTTCCGTGGTAAAACGTCATCACAACAAAGAGCTGAACAGCTGTCAGCACATCCCATCATGCTGCACATCACATTAACAGGCTGCCAATTTTCTTTCATTTGTACCAAAATGGCTACACAATGCTGCTGAATTCTACACGTATCACTGATTAAGAAAATAAAATTGGAGAACGGAGTAAGTACGGAGCAGTGGAGGTGTACCTTTGTCTCTGAAAACGAAGACTGAGCCACAATATGGCATTTTGAAACATTTGTGAATCACTCTAAATACAACTTTGGATAAGGGGAAATAACTATAATATGGTTATACGCTGATTTAGCGTAATAGGCCCGCTTTAATATATTCTTTTTTGTTTTATCTTTGTGCATTATGACAAAAAATAATAGCTGTCACTGTCACTAGAAAAGTATATATAGTCTATCATATGTTTAGACAACCACATTTTTTCTCATTTGTATTTAATCATATTGCACTGGTATTAGACAACAACACATTGGCTATATGAAAATAAGCCACTCACTTAGCATGCAGAGGTTCAAGAAACATCAAATGGGGCATTGTAATACTGTGTAAAAGTGCAGAAAATTGAAGCTAAAGGAAAGTGATAGTAGTACCACCGAAACTGCTTTTGGCGCTGCTCTAAAACAAACATTATTATGAAAAAGTGTCTGTTGCCGAGTGTGACATCTCAAGAGTAAAAGCTACACAGTAAGTCTAATAACAGCTCTATCTGAAATGTGACACTACATTTTCCTCGGTCAAGATAGCGCTGAAATATACCCACTTACAGTTCTCTGTGAGTGCAACAAAACAGGTCTCCCGGGTAGGCCTGTGCAGATAAGCACACTGCCTGCTCTGGAGCTCGTTCAAGACATGTCCAAAATGTGAGAATCATTTCAATTCACTATGAGCAATGCAGTTGAAAGGGCCCATATTAGGATATTTTCTGTTGCGTGTTATAATGTTGTTTAATCTTCATAAACATACCTGAAGGGTTCCATTGTGTTTTTAAACTCCGCCCACCTTCAAGTGGCTTTGCACCTTGTTTACAGTACGATTTCAAAGTTAGTTATGGAATTAATATATTATATGTCATACATGCTGCCCATGTCTACCAGGAAGAATAATAATAAAACAATTAAAAAAATATTAATTATGTTTTAGTGAAGTGAGTAGTCTAACCTGTCATATGCATTCTGTATCAGCTATAGTGAAATCTCCTCTGGAAAAATATATGGTATGATTTTTTATTGCTACATTTTGACCACATATACAGAGACACAGAGATTTAGGAGGTCAAAGGTCATGACAAAGCCAATTACAGAAGGTCATTTCTATCCATTTGAGTGAAAAGGAGTCTGAGGAGATGGGTGGACCTTGTGTTACACTGTCAGATTAAAGAGAGAAAAGTGATAGGTGTCAGCTTCATTTGACCCCTGCCCCTCCTCCTCCAGCCTGTTTATGTCTACTACACATTTGGGCTGTTAGACACATGGTAACTTCATACCAAATGTAAAATCAAGTATTTAGTGTATAAACTTTTGTCACCTTTTATATTATTTTGGAGAATCAGCAAATAGGTATCAGCACTATGCACATGTTTGTTTGTTTTTTCCTTTTTATTGGTGGAGTTTACTAGTTTAATTATTAATACTGTGTGGACCTAAGGAGTACATTTGGAACAGCTTCCTGCTGGGAAGAAATAATTACTGCAGAAGTGTTGCTGGCAAAGATCATATCTCTTCTTTGTGTGACACAAATTACATGTGTTCTTGTTGTTGCTGAGCATGCACTGTTCAGTACTACACACTATGCCATTATGCCAGGAATGTTACACTGTATGGCATTACATGTGTATGGCCCATTGTATGGTAAATTACAGGTCAGATCTGTGAAAAGACAACTCTGCTCACAGAATGCATTAATGAATTGTAAAGTATTTTGTGCTATATAAATATGTAATTAAATGCAAGACACATAAGTTTACAGACAAAGCAGTAAGATCTACATACAGACAAGCTTTTAGCTTTTTTGGCTATTGGCCAGGGTTTTTGGTACAAAGCCCTCTACCAGAAAAAAACAAACAAAACTTTGTGCACCTAATGACAAGGACTTCTCTTGTTTGATATGTTCCTGTGTACACAACAGTAATAATGCACCATCAAAACATCAACTATCAGGAATCTCCTGGTAACCCTCAGTCATAAAAGAGCACTCAGAACTATTATGAAAGATTACATTTTATTTCAGAGTGGTGACCTAAACGTTTTCCTGCTGGTACTATCCGTGACAGGACCAAAGGATGAATGCCTGGCTGAAGGACATCACAAAAGAGTTGCTTCTTTCCTCTGACTCTGTTTCTCTGTTGTTGAACCCCAGAGAATGCCCCCCTCATATTTCTAAAAGCGCAGCCCTGTGAACTACAGCGTTTGGACACATACACACTCCTCTGTCACGCTGGCTCGCTGTACCTGTCTCTCACACCCCAGCACATACACGCATCCCCCACCACTCGAACACATGCATACAAAGAACCACAGAGTATTCAGGTGCAGTGTAATCGCTGGAGCCGAAAAAGCAATGTGTCTACAGTGACAGGTTCATTCAGGTGTTAGCCCCATCCGAACCGCAAGGGCTCCAAAACAATATTACTCTGCTCCCCAGTGCATACATGTACACACATTGTTAAAAACGGATAGCAAAAGTTCACTATTTTTGAGGCCTGAGGTAGAAAGGTGCAGTGTTATTGTTGGCCTGCTAGAGTCCATTTTGTTTGGTCAGAGGGAGCATTTAGTGGGTCATATACTGCAGTGTCACCTGACCTAGATTGGCAAACTCAGACAAACATATTAGTGGTCATAGGAAAATCAGTGTATTGATAGTGCAAATCTGTGTTAATGTAATACTGTACTCAACCTGTCACATAATGTAACAGTCATTCTTCACTTCACTGTGGCCCGGTTTACATGATGCACGTGACTGTGCATTCAGATAAAATAGAAAGAGTAGAAACAAGATTTTAAAAATAGCTACACTTTTTGCCTTTTAGAGGTCCTATATTACACAAACTTGATTCTTGTGAGCTTTTAAATCATGTTATAATGTTATTAGTTCATCAAAAACATTCCTGGAACCTGGAGTAGTGTTTTGTTTCAATCGCACATTGAGTATCCTGCATTATTAGTCTGTGCACATCTCCAGAGCTCAAAATGCTCTGTGAGGTCATGAAGTGGTCATTTTCAGATTAACAGCTATCTTTTCACATTTGTTCAGAAAAATGATAGGCAATTCCAGGGCTGAAATCATCCAAATGACACTAGTGAAAGAGTATGAAGTTTCAAAATACAGTGGAGCACTTCCTATTTTACCAAAGGACATCACAAGGTGGAATTGAGTGTTTTGCCTTTGAGAGAAGAACTCAGTCATGTCATATGCAGGGTTTCTGTATTAAACATGTGTGAATGAAACAAAAGACTCCATGGTTGATGAGGAAACAACATTATAACATACACCAGAAAATAGAGTAATATAGGCCCTTTAAAGCAACTTTGGGCTTAAGATAGAGAGTCAAAGTTTTCAATACTAATACTAATACTAATAATTATACTAATACTAACACAGCGTTGTACAATCCCTTGCAAAAATGCAGTAATTTTGTCCTGCAGTTAATCTCTGTTTTGATATGGGCCTAGTGATATTCTACTTAAAACGACTGCCCAGATTTAAAGATAGACTGTTGGCAGCTGTGAGGGACTTTTGAGGCTAACCACCGTGGCTCTGCACAGGCATGATCGACTCATTATCTCTGCTCATCTCTCCAGCATCAATTAAAGCATTTAGTTTGAGGTTTGGGTCCAATCTGGTCAAATTCAGTTTGCAGCTTCACAAATACACATCAGGATCCTGCTCTGTGACCTTTCAGCCTCACTGTAAGCCTACCTGCTTGTACAGCACCATTAGTCTGACCTTTACACTCTAGTCATCGGTATCGTGGCCCTTCACAGGGAACCTGCTCTGTCTGCAATCACAAGATGTTACAAAAGTCTAGGAACTTATATATAGCCTATGTGGTTTTCCCAGAGCTCAGACAGACTAACTTCTGTGACAAGAGACCTCAATATGCAATGTGTCTGATTAATTTTAAAATGGCTATATACCATTTAGTACTTGCTGTGCGGAAGAGCAGTTGGCCATTCAAAAATATCTTCACTGATATCAATAATGATTTGGTATTAAATAAATGAACAAATAAACACACTAACTAAAGCAAAATCCACATGGAGTCACATAAAAGAGTAGCCATGCCTCGTGTCTCTGCTGTGTCCTTGTGAGTCACCTGTAGTTCAGAGCACAGAATCCTTTTAACTGAATCCTTCTCACACACAGTTACTACTTATGATGGCCTTGTGTCTGAGTACATCTCCAAGGAGCTGTCCATCTTCCCATTACACCTTTTCACATCCTAACCCACTTTACAGGTACGCACTTCCTGGTTACATCGCTG